TCATCTCACCTCTACAGTGGAACGTGGACGGGGACCGAGCCTGTCGTCCGATATCATCAGTGGGTTCATGAGACTGTGTGGAAAGTCTTTGTTAATGCAGCTTTAAGTGACAAAGTATAGTGAACAAAAAAGTAAGAACATTTGACATGCGCTTTACAGTCAATTACACAAACTTTAGGTTCAAGGATTTTATGGTCAGTTCACCACCTGTGCAGGACATACAGAAAATCGAAATACTGTTTCTCTCTCACCTAGTATTGGGTGCACTAACAATTAGGAACTAAAATAGAATAAAGTCGGAGTTAGTGAACAGTGTTCAGCATCCTCACAGCCTGGTGGATGAAGCTGTTTGTAAGTCTGGTGGAGTGGGCCTGAAGACTCCGATACCTTCTCCCTGAAGTCTGAAGTGGGAGTGTGCGGGGTGCGAGGTGTCATCACCATTGCTGACGGCTCTGCGGGTGAGGTGGGTGTTGAAGATGCCCGTAACAGAAGGCAGAGAAGCACCAATGATCTTGCTGGCTGTTTTCATTGTCAGTGCTGGACCAGATTATTCATCTGGGCCACAGACGTCCACTGATGATAAACTATTAACATTAGGGAAGCACAGATCAACTGAAATATGAAGTAAATGTTGAGAGTTCATCAGGTGACAAAGAGGAAGGGCCAATGAGGTGAAGCCCAGATCCATCAGAGCATCAAAGCTCTTCCTCTCTCTCCTCCCTTCTCACTGCAGACATGAAACTCTGGCTGAGAAACATCCTGATTCTGGCTCTGTGGAGAGGTAACTCTTTACACCGACTGGCTGTCTCCTTTAATCAATCATCTCTGTTGATTCATCTCTTAGTTGTGATCAATGGTGTCAAAAGCAGCACTGAGATCTAAGAGGACAAGTATGGAGACAAGTCCTTTGTCCGAGGCTAGGAGAAGATCATTGGTGACTTTCACCAATGCGGTTTCTGTACTATGATGGACTCTAAATCCTGACTGAAAATCCTCAAACAAATCATTCTTGTGCAAGTGGTCACATAACTGCTTTGCAACAGCTTTTTCAAGGATTTTAGAAATAAACGGGAGATTGGATATTGGTCTATAATTAGCTAGGACACCTGGGTCAAGAGTAGGCTTTTTGAGTAGAGGTTTAATTACTGCAA